CAGTATGAAAAAACACTGTTTAATAAATAAACCGTTTTAATTAAAAAGTTTTCCCGAAGTAATTAAAAAAAACACCCCCTCATGTCAAACTTCCAAAAAAGTTTAACATGTTAATAATTATAAAATATTAAGTTAGACATTAAAAAACAGTTTTCTCAAATTTAATATAAAATATACACTATGAAAAAACACTGTTTAAAAAATAAAGCCGTTTTAATTAAAAAGTTTCCCGAAGTAATTAAACAAAATACCCCCTCATGTCAAACTTCCAAAAAAGTTTAACATGTTAATAATTATAAAATGTTGAGGTAGACATAAAAAACTGTTTATAAAAAACTTTTTTTTATAAAAAACTGTTTTATAAAAAACTGTTTTATAAAAAACTGTTTTATAAAAAACTGTTTAATAAAAACTGCTTTTTAAAAACTACCTTTATTTTTTTTTTATAAATTTAAATATGAAAACCTATTTAAGATTTCAATCAAAATTTGATCTTCTATTATATTTACACAATTATTTGAAAATGTAAATTAATACTCCTCATTAATCAATTATTTTAGATGAGCAATGAACAATCCACATCCCGTGCTCGCCCGAACTATGCGCCCTTAACCCAAGCCGAGCGCAACAATGAAGATTCGGAATGGGTGACACCTCACATGGTTGCTAAGTAAGTAACTATGAACTTTATCTAATGTCAAATAATTTTATCTAATGTCAAATCATTTAACTATAAAAAAATATTAATTTTTTGAAGCGATCAAGATGTGCTCAACCAAATCAAAATCATAATTGGTGGACACTTTCTTGGCAACTGGGCTACGTACACGGATGTTGACCCTAAGCTCCGTGAACTTTGGTGGAACTTGTTCAAGGTAAAAAAATCAATTTTTCGTCATTGATGTAACCTAAAATTTGACAAATGATAAGTTAATTTATTTTTTAATAAAGGCCCGGTTTCGCTGGACTGAAGAACAAGGCCCCGCTATTCTAAGGGTGTACAATGCCAGAGTTTCAAACTGGCTTCGTCCCACTTTTAAGCATGCCCGAGCCAGTGGGGTAAGGCCTCAATGGTGTTCGGATGAGGTATGGGAAAACCCCGTCCGCCACTGGTCTTCGGATCCGACTTTCTTGGCTAGAAGCGAAGCCGGGAAGAAAAATCGGATGTCCGAGAAGGCATTGACGACACAATGGCCCGGAGGCCGCAAACCCCAGAGTAAACATTTTAACCTTTTATTTTTTTACATTTATTTAAACATTTTTCTAACCTTGTAGGTGGGGCCTCAAAAGAAGAGGGTCCCTATCCTCAGTGTAATCAAACACTGTTGGACGAAGAACGGTGTTGAGTCGCCAGCCAATCTACCACCCCGCCTTGCTGAAATCGAAGTATGTAACATCAATACTATTATTTCAAATTGAAGTAAATATCATTTGAATAATTTTTTTTAAATGTTTGTAGACAAAGTATAACGCAAATGTTGAAAAGAAGCGGGTGGAACTAGGCTTGACTCAAGAAGATGACATCGATTCTGATGTGGAAGATGATGCCATCCTTGAGGCAGCAGGGGTGTACAAGGGTCAGCTTCCATGCCTCAGGGCTAAGGGGCAACGTATTTTGTACGATCGCAGCGGCAGCGGAGCTTCATCATCTTCTCGATCTAGGCGAGGAGAGGATCCACGCATTGCCCAATTGCAGCGAGAATTGGAGGAGGAGCAGCGTGCATTTGAACAGCAACAGAAGAATGATGAAGAAACGAGGGCCCGGCTGGAAGCAATGGAACGGATCCTTGCTGGATATCAGCCTCCGCCTCAGCCTCATCCTCGGTCGTACATTATGCACGTTGAGCAGACTCCTCAGGTTCCGCACATGGGTAGTATGGGTTACCACTCTAACTCCGGTTATGGTGCCATGCCTGCAATAGGGTCAACATTCGGATCTCTGTCGTCTGATATGCTCAATCAGTTTCAGTCATCGGGTGGAGGCAACCGAGGAGGCAGCCGAGGAAGCCACCGAGGAAGCAACCGAGGAGGCAATCGAGGAGGCAACCGAGGCAGCCGAGGAAGTTCCCGACCCTTGGACACCGTGGATGCAGAAGAGGATCATCATCGTGACTATGATGATAATGATGATGAATATGATTATGATGATTCTAATTTTTATCACAATGGAGTCCGACGTACGAGCATATAATTACATAATATTGTTTGACATTGTATGGATTTTGTTTTTATAATTATGTCTGTAATAACATTTTTTATGTTTAAGATTGTATGGAATTTATTGTTATTCTAATTGCTTTAAAATAAAATTAAAATAATTTTTTATTTTTTTATAATTTTTTTTTAAATCAAAAACATTAGTCACGGACTAAATCCGTGACTACTTTTTAATCCAGAATAAATTCAATTTTCATTTTTTTTATTTAAAATTGACTTTTTTTAAAAAAAAACAAAAACATTAGTCACGGACCAGATCCGTGACTACATTTTATCCGGAATAAATTCAATTTTTTTAAATTTAACATAGTCACGGATGCGTCCGTGACTACCACAAAAATAAAAAAAAAATTAAATTAAACTTAGTCACGGCTCGTGTCCGTGACTAACTCAAAAAATTTAAATTAAATTAAAAGTAGTCACGGATCCGGTCCGTGACAAACGTGCCGGAGGGCTTATTCCGGTCAAGATGTAGTCACGGATCGACGTCCGTGACTAATCCGTGACTACACCTAGTCACGGCCAATGTTCCGTGACTACATTCTAGTCACGCGGAACTAGTCACTGAACTAGTCACGGACGAAGTCCGTGACTAAAAGTGTTAGTCACGGACTTTTTACACTACGGTCCGTGACTAAGTCCGTGACTACAGGCGAATTTTTTTGTAGTGTTTGTTTATGAATTTGAACAAGATATATATATGATTATTTTCCTTAAGAGATATATGTTCCGCTTTGTGATTACTTCTATGTGAAATGGAATTACCAAAATCAGTTTGAATTATGGACATATTACGAAAGGATCTGAATTACAAAGAAAAATTGGGAAGGATTTTTACTTGTGGGCAGGGATTCGCTTGTGGGAAGGATTTTTATTCTGGGGAGGGGGGTTGAGGGGCCTGGAGTAATCAGGGTTAAAACTCACTCCATTGAGTTTCAAGCCTTATGTGTCCAGGAGGTTTCGAACTCGAAACCTCTCACTCAGGGCCGGCCCTGGGCCTGTCTGCCCAGCCCAACCGCACAGGGCCCGGTATTTTGGAGGGCCCAAAAAAATATATTTAGTATTACCCTCAGCCCATAAGTTTTTAGCCCAAATCAATTCCCCCAGGCCTCAAATCGGCAAATCCCCCTTCTCCTGCTCAGCTGCTCGCTGCTCTTCACGACAAAGCGACATCGCCTCTCCATAGGACCACAACTGACGAGGCGACGACTCCACAACCGACGACCCCAAATCCCCTGCCGGCCCTACGCAGTCCGACATCCCCTCGGGCCTTGGCCCTCTCCTGCTCTCCACGACTCGAACGTTGAACGCACACCTCACTCCGCAGCAGCCTGCAGCCGACCGCCTCCGCCACCCTCCGGCCTCCCTCAGACGCCCTCCTTCTGGTCAGTTGCTAATTTGCTAATTCTTTTATTCATTTAGTTGCTAATTTGCTAATTCTTGTGAACTTTCGATTTATTGAATATTTGAATTGATGAACTGTTTGTTGAAATCTTTTAATTTGTTTATTTTCAGATTTAATGTTTGTTGAATTGTTGTGTTGTTGTTATTTGTTGACTTTTGCATTTAAAGTAAATCATTATTTGAATTGATAATGAATGTGTAATTTTGTAAATGTGTTTAGCAATTAAAATTGATAACTTTAGGTTGATAAATTGGTAACTTGAGGTTGATAAATTATAATTATACACTAGTATAGTCATTCATGCTTTCACCCTAATTTTAAACTGAATATTAATTTAAAATTTATAAACATGTACATGATTATAGGAGAATTTCAATAATTGGTAATAATTATGTTTTCATTAATAAATATGTAAGTTATTAATGACTTTTTTCATTTTAATTATTACGTTTATTAGTAACTTGTATTGTAAGACAATTTGCTTGCGTTTAAACTTGAAAAAAGGCCCAAATTTTATTGTTGCACAGGGCCTCCGTTTTCTCGGGACCGACCCTACTCTCACTAGACACGGTAACCTCACAACCAGCCGGGCTGAAATGCTTGGTTGGTAAATAATAGTATATCTTTATTTGTGTGTAAAAAAGATTTTGCAAATCTTTTGTGTAAAAAGATTATTGTGTAGCTTCTTTATGATTTTGTGTTCTGCCATCACTCCCGCGGACTAGCTTCAATTATACTAGTATTATAGATGGAGTTTGGCCAAAGGTTAATCTGATAAGCTAAGATTTCACACTCAAATTAAACAACCCTCATGGAGAGACAATCTTCCATTTTGTCTGCATTTATCTGTTGCATAGTAACACGAAACGCATCCCCACCCCATCAGCCTATACTATATAGGTTTGTAAAACCATCTATTACGTGCCAAATGAGATAACACAAAACTATATGTATCATTCATAAATTCCCATTCCAAACACATCAAATCGGCACAGACAATTTCATGCTCATACCATATGATCTGCGTATTAAACTTTAACCCTTCCCATGCAACAAAGAATCTCACCCTTCACTTCCATCAAATGTGGTCCAGGTAGGGGTGGAGACCGGGAGGAGCTGGAGAGGGTCTTGGTCCTTGCAAGAAAACAATTCTTAAGCATATATTATGTATAATTACTTTGAATCTAAAGAAAATATGTTGATATTTTAAACTTTTGTCCCGACAATGTAAAATTCTCGAAACTCGATCCCCTTAATCATCGATTTCTGACTCCGCTACTGGGTCCCGGTGAGATCATATCGTTATTCCACTCCCCCAAACAGAGCACAATCCTAACTAGTGGTATATAGTAATTGCCACCCAATCTTATATTCTCCCCTTCTCCTTCTAAGTCTTTCCAACTCCGATCTCTATTATATCCTTATATAGAAACGCTACACACAAACAAAAGCTTTACTTTTTTAATAGTTTGTGTTACTCATCGCCTGCTAATAGCTGAGGGCAAATAACATAATTCCCAATATGAAGGTATGTTATACAAGACCTTGTTTGGATTACCAAATTCTGATCTCATTTGATTTTTTCTTTATCTTTGAGTTGGAGTGAGATTAAATGGTACCTTAACTACTAGTATTGTTTTAATTTGGTACATTAACTCTTAAATGAATCAAAACAATACCTTAGCTATACATAAATATTTCAACTTGCAATATTATTCAAATTTTAGACAAAAAATCCACACTAAACGACCGAAATTCTATGCGTAAAATTTGTTTCATCTTATTTTTGTCTATGTAATCACTATAGGGTGACTTTACACATGGAATTTTGATCACCATGTAGGAGTTTTTGATCGCAAATTTGAATAAAAATTCAAGTTGAAGCACTCGTGCATGTATAGTATATAGTTTTGATATTAATTTGATTCATTTAACAATATTAATAGTTAAGGTATGGTGTATTCATTTCACCCATTTGAGGTGCTATATTTAGATCGTTTTCTTCATGCCCGCAGTTACTTGGTTGGATGCACCGTAAGTTTCGTCAAGGTAGTGGTGAACCGCTCAAAGATTTCTCCTTAGGTAACCTCAGCTCCATTATGACTCTTATTAAGGTCATGAGAAAAGCACTCACGCATATACGGAGTATTGATGTACAAAGTATATACACACAATACTCATAATAAGTATGTTATACATATCGTTTATTCATAAATCACATATTTATTTCACTACAAAAAAAACATGGGATTGGTAGGGATTTTGGCAGAGATTTGGTAGGGATTTTGGCAGGGATATGCCAAATTCGTGTCAAAAACACTTTGGCACGAACTATTTGGCAGAGATAGACACAAAAAATTAAATTTATGACATTTCTTTCTCATTCTTTCCACGATTTTGTGTGTTTTTGATAAGTTTTTGTCAACAATGGCAACCACAATGTCTACATCTAGACATTGTGTATGACATTGTAGAGAAAAACTGAATAAAAACATATAAGATCATTCAAATAAGGAGAGAGATATTGTATTCATTATTTTTTAATTGACTATCTCTCGTGCCACATATGCATTATTTACGTTTTTGCATCGTAGATGCTCTAAGTGTGTAAAAATATGAGAATGACCTCAGCATATATGTGCTCGTAGTGTTTGTTGCTTGGCATAACAAAAAATAAACACTACTCCGTAGGAATTAATTGTTGGCTAACTATAATCACCCGGCCAAACTAAGGAGTCACGTGCTATTGTTTTATTATTAAATCATGTCCAAATAACCAAATTATGATATGATGATTCTAGATTAAGTGACATTTGGATGACATAACATTGGAGCATTAATTTTTGAGAAAAGTAATTAAAATACCTTAAACTTTGAAAGGGTGAGAGGTAAACACCCCAAAGTTGTGTATGTGATTTAAATACCCAAAATTTTATATAAAAAATTATTTTAGCACCATGGATATGCACTATTTCTTTCAAAAATGTTAATATTTGATGTAATTTCATAATTTAAAATATTGTAGCATTCATGAAGATACAATTAACATTCTAAACTTTCATTGTAAAATATATAGTATTACCCCCCACTCTATATAATTACAACATTTTCAATTTGTTATTTTAAATTATGCATGTAACACCATAAATTTACATTTTTGAAAAAATAATACATGATCATGATGTTAAAATAATGTTTTATATAAAGTTTGAAGTATTTAAATTACATATGAAAGTTTGAGGTGTTTATCTCGCACATGACAAAACCTAACATGATTAAATTTAAGCAGACAAGACCATATACAATAGACATATACTACGTATATAAATAAACCACGCTACTTCCAACAAGATAAAGCTTAGCTAGGTGTAATAAAACACACATCATATCAAACTAGTATTATACTTGACCACGGGAGCTAATCAGGCTTAGATGGAATATAGTACCAGAAAAGATTGAATAGACGAGAACAAATCGGATTACATTAGATTAGACTTAGCTAGAGCAATAAATTTGATTTCAAATGAACAGTTTCTAATTAATGTCTTATCTTAACATGAGTCAAAAAAATTTGAATAGAAGTCCGAATAAATATTTTTAAAGATGGTAGTAATATATCATCACTTATTGGTTAAGTTAATTAATGAGTGAATTACTTGAATAAGACTAAAAGAGGGTCAAAATCACAAATAAGACTACGAGCCCGTTTGGTAGCACGAAAATCGGCTGATTTGGCCGATTCTGCTGAAATTTATGAAATCCTGTCTGAAGTGGCTGCATTGGCTGATTCTGCTGATTTAAGAAAAAAATATTTTTTAAAATATATTTTATTAATAAAATAAAGAAAAAATTATATGTAAAAATAGCTAAAATTGTCATCTAGAGTAACTTCAGCCATCACAGTCAGAAAAGTAACTTCAATCTTACTTTTTCTGCTTATTAAACAATTGAGTGCGCGAAAGCAAAAGTTACGTGTTTGGTGAAAAAGTTGGCCGATAAGCAAGATAAGCCGAAAAACAGTGTTGCCAAACGGCCTCTACATTGTTTTAGATTCCTCCAGTGGGACTACTTATTTGTGTTTGGACAAATATACCCTTGTAGCTTTTGAAATGTTTTTAATTCATAATAAAATAAAATAAAAATTATAAAATATTCACAAAATCAAAAATTAAAAAAAATTAATAAATTTAAAAAATAAATAAAAATGTAAAAAAATGTCGTTGCCTTTGCCACCCCTAGCACCACCAGCTTCGATCACCGGAGAAAATACCAACATTTTTAATAATGCTATAATAATGGCAGTTTCATCAATGAAACTTTTGACATTATCAATAGTAATAATGCCATTTTCTTGATATTCTCAAAAAAATGACATTGTTTATAGAAAAATGACATTTTATTCACCGATCAGAGGTGATGGTGCTGGGAGGCGGTGGGAAATGTATCCATTTTTAATGGGTTTTACTAATTTTTATTAATTTAAAAAAAATTAAATTTTTATTTTATAAATATTTTATTATTTTTTAATTTTGTTATGATTTTTTATTATTTTTTTACGATTTTATTATGAATTAAAACATTTCAGTATGAACTAATACTCTTAGGGATATTTAGAGTATAAAATCAATGTTTAGTCCTATTTGTGAATGATTTAAGACTTTAGTCATATATATTTGTGAATGATTTAAGGCCTTAATCCTACTTAATTGTACTATTTATTATACTAAAGTCCTATTTAGGACAATTTCAATTAATTATACTAGTTATGTTTCATTTTCAAAGATATAATTGCCATTGATCCAACCAAAAATGCGAAGACTTCTGGAATTTGATTCTACTTTTATTTGTTCAATCAAGGTCTTCACCCATTATTTTTGTAAGTGATGGTGGCAAATTTGTAATTTTTGTAAAAATCACGGATTCCCTTAAATGAGCATATATGCAATTTTTATGAGCATATATGCAATTTTGATGAGCATCAAGCATGTTCTTTTGAGTATTAGGAGCAACGGCGAGCATCAGTGATCCCTGCTTCATACTCTATATATCACTTTTTGTTTATTATTTTTTGTTTATTAAAAAGTGATGTTATGTCTATAATCAATTTCAATTAATTTCACACATAATTTCCAAAATGAGTATCAAAAAATTAAAAGCTCATTTGTGTGTGCGCATTCGTTTTGAACTTTTTACTCATTTGAGTTTAACATAAAACTCATTTAATGTGAATCTAATGTAGTATAATGTGTTTGAAAGATGCTTGAATATGTCATTTTAAAATGAGTATTAAATCAATTTCAAATGAGCACATATAAATTACGAAATGAGCACCGAAATATTTTGAAAAATATTAACACAATATTAAAAAATACTCGTATAATATTAAAATACAAAGTTGAAATTGATCTTCCTAGAATTTGAGAACTTAAGCCACAACGTGCACGATTCTCCTTCATCCAACTCCCAGGAGTGATACCTCCTTCACCAACCCCAGGAATTCAGCAAGCGAGCACAGAAGTCATTAGCGCATCCTCCATCGATTCCCAAGACATCAGTGAGCGCTGAGCAACCTCCTCCATCCCTAATCTTTACCACCATATTTGTAATTAATTGCAAAACTACCTGGTTGTACGGTGAGCACTGTACGACCGGGTGTACGATATAATTTACCGCTTCCAGGACTCCACGTGGAATACTGCTGCTACTGCATGCGGCGGAAATCATAGCAAGGATCAGCGGCTATGTGAAGTACGTACTGCAGCGGAAAAAAGAACAATAACTAACATATCTATTACCATCCAAGTTGAAAATAATTACAAAAAAACCCGGATGTACCATGCCCTAGGTACAACCGGTTGTACGGTGTAATTTACCCCCACCCGCTCTTTTTAATTTTCATATTTTCTTTGTAATTTCATTCGCCATTTTACGTTAACAAAATTCCTTTTCATCAAAAAAGAGTCAGTAAATTAATTGTATTTCCAACTAAGTGGAAATGGGTCAAGTTAATGCAAGAAAAATCAAAGTCAAATCATTTGACTCAAATGGCAATATGGCATGGTCTTTAAGAGTTCATTGCATTCTAATCACAGGGCATCCCTCGTTGGATGACATACAATGCTACCCGAAGTCAAATTACTTCGCCAAGTCAACTTCCAAATCCCAGAGAGACAACCTCCTCCGCAAATCCTTTGCATGCACGGAGGTTTCCGCCGACAGCCGCACCGACGAAGTATATCAGTACTATGACCACCGTGACTCCTCCACCGAAGCTCTCTCCGACCTCTTCCGCGGCTTCCTCGCCATCGGAACTCTGGGCGGGGACCCACTCACTGACGACCCTTACTCCACCCCCACCTTCTCCATATGCATGGAGAACATAGCTGAGAAAGAGACTGAAGTCACAGAGAACGACCTCCGGATGATCAACGACGAGCTCGAGAAGGTCCTCGGCGGGGACGAGATCACCTCCGGGCGGAACAGCATGGTCAGCAACGCCCGCAGCAGTTACTGCGGCACCATAACTCTGTCCGGAAAGCAGCTGGAGAACATAGAGAGTGGCGGGGCTACTAACATTTGTCCTCTCCAAGGGTACCTCTTTGGGTCTGCCGTCGGGCTGCCGGAGACGACAGCTGCCGGGAACAAGAAAGAGCCGAGGCCGTCTCTTGGAGAGCTTTTCCAGAAGACGAAAATGGTGGATGAGAACAGCCAGGGTGGAAACAAAGGGGAGAAGCAGCGCGGTGGGGAGAATAATAAAGAGAATGAGAAGTCAGCTGTTCATCTCTTGAAGAAGATACTGAAGAAAAGAATCATTCATTCTTCTTCTTCTTCTAAGGGCTCAACCACTGATTCTGCTGCTGAGACTAAACTCAACAAGGTGCATGCATGATATATGCCCTCTGATCTTTCCCTTTTTTGATTTAATTAATAATGCATATCCTACAAACCAGTGAATTCTGAGAAAATTATTTGAAAGATTTACCTAAATAGCTAGGACTAAATAAAAGGATAATTGGAACAATAGGAGTTTAATGTTTAAATTTCCAAAATAGGGCTAATTCTTCCTATTATACCCTTTCCCGGCCTTGTCCTTCCTAAAATGATTTTTAAATAATCATTATTAAACATTAAAAAAATAATAAAAAATAATCGTAAAAAATAAATAAAAAATATACAGATTTCAACTACTACCTTAGTCACCTTCCAGCACCCCACCTCCAGTCACCGGAAAAGATTGCTAAGTTGGGGGAAAATGTCATCGTGATGACAATTTTGAAAAAAAAAACTGGATATTTTCAAAGATAAAAAATGTGAATCTTTATGGTATTTCCATATAAATGTGACATTTTTTACATAACATGGCATTTTTTTCGGCGATTGGAGGTGGTGGTGCTGGACGATGGAGGATGCAGAGGCAGTAACCTACATATTTTTTAATATTTTTTAGGTATTTTATTTTATATTTTTACATGTTTTTAAGTTTTTTAAAATATTTTCTATTTTTTATTTTTTTTACTTTTTTATTTTATTTTTTCCCAATATTTTTTATTAATTTAAAAATATTTTTACATTTTTTATGTTTTGATGATAAATAAAACTCTTATTTTTTGTATCAATAAATAAATCTATTAGAAATTATTGGTTGGGGGTAGAATAGAAAGAAGAGACATATATTACTCCTATTTTTAGAATAAAAGGAGTATAAACCTAATGTGGAATTTTGGGCTACTTTTAGTCCATATAAGGCTAATAGCCGAAATTATTTCTATTTAATTTTTACACATATATAATTAAATAGATTAATCGTTAAAATCATATTTTGACAAATGTGAAAGTAAAGTGTCCCAAGTAATAAAATATTCGTAGATTTCAAATGTATGACTAACAAACTTATTTATGACTTCATACGAGTAATAGTTGAATTTAAGAAAGAAAAAGTACAATCCAGGATCATACTACGTATCATACATTAAAAAAACATCATTAATTTAGAGATAAAAAGTTATCTAGTCATATTTTAAGAGTCCAACTCTCTTGATCACGCACCTAGTAACTTTCTCTTTATTTTAGTATACTGTATACAGGTGGACCATTCTTTTTTATTCCTTAAGGTGTGTTTGTGAGTTTGAGGGTGAGGGAAGGAGAAGACTTTGAAGGGGAGTAGAGAGAAGGGAAGGGGAGAGAGATGGGAAGGTATTCCCTCCTCTTGTTTGGAAGTTACAAATTTCAAAAGAGGAGGGTTTTGGGACTTGAGGGCTTTCAACGGCGGAGAAATGGAGCGAGTAGCAACTCATAAAATTTTTGTGCCGAAACTTTATTAGTTTCAGAGGATAAATATGTCATTTGCGTAGCTATACCTTTGAAACCCCTCAAATCAGGAGAATCAGAAAACCCTGGTCTTGGAGGGTTTAGAAGGATTTTATAACACCCCAAAACCTTTCCCTCGTATTATTTGAACTCCCAAACACAAATAGGAGGGTTTATTTCACTCATATGCTTTCCCCTCCCCTCCAAAAACTCACTCCCAAACACACCCTTATAGTTTCAATAAATTCTATTTAATTTAGTTTGGTACTTATAGAGACATTATGTTATTTTTGCAAGAATATATCATTGTTTACACAATTAATATACGTAGTATTAATTAATATATATAATCGTGGATTATAAAATTTAATCTTAATTGGCATGTATATGAATAATAATAAATGTACACAAGAGGTTATGTAGGAGAAAATATTTCAATATTACTAAAAGTCGTGTCTTCTTAATATTTGACTACTATACACACGGTTTTTTCCTAATGTATAACTTCGGTGATAATAAAAGTGTCTAAAAATAAGAACATTAATGATACATGCTTGGACAAGCAATAAAGCATGGATATGTAGTACTACATATCATTGTAGGGGAAAAAAACATATGTAATATACTCATATTACAAAATTATACTGTCTTTTACTATTTACTAATATTGGAGGCAATTTCTGATTTAATTTTCTCTATATACTTATTTACCATGCATGCAAATGGTTTTACATTTATGGTTTAAAAACTTATGCTCAAGTCAAAACTTAAGGGACTAATCTCCAATTCACTGATATTTAAGGAACTTCTTCTACAAAATAGGAGTCCTTTTTTTTTTAAAATAAGAGTAAACTATTGACATTCAGAAAAATTACACTTTTATCTTCATATTTTGTGGTGATTTCCAAACATTAATGTAATTTCGGAACATTTTTCTCCTAGTTTGGACAAATTGTTAATCTAAAATTAAACAAAAAGAAGCAAATAAATAAAGATAAAAGTTACTGAATACAATACACATAAGGATGCAAGCATAAGTTGCTAAACTAAATGGACAAATAAATATAATTGTGAGTTAATTGATTGGGTTTGGATAATGACAAAGGGGAACTGGCAAGCAGGTACTCCAAATGTTCCACAAGAAAGTGCACCCAGAGAGCATAGGAACAGCAGCAAAAGTTGAGAAGGGCTCCAACAAGAGTGACAACCTCAGCAGCAGCAGGAACACCCGCCTCATGTATGACAGCGTCTTCGGGTCCGCCCGTGAAGACGTCGCGCTCATGCCGAAGCGCCGCCGCATGTCACGGGACAACTTGAGGCGTCTCAAGAGCCAATCCAGCTTGCGCCGCCATCAGCTCGCCGCCATTGCTTCTGCCGATCCCAATGCCAACAAAGAATGTTGGATCAAAAGCGACGCCGATTGTAAGTCTTACATACCGTTCTATATTTAGGATGTTTTTAACGGTACTTGTCTCAGTCTCAAATTAGATTAGATCACACTTAACAAACTAGACCAAATCAAAACATAAAAGACTAGATTTTGACAGTTGTAAAATAAACTTAGAACATAAATTTACGAGATCAAACAAGTTTACATCACACTAGATCAGAAATTTTCAGTCATATTAAAAACCTCTTTAGTACCACTCACTCCAATCCCAAATGATCTATAATGATTTATACTCACAAGTAAATTTAATGAACCTGCCAACATACTTACTACCACTACAAAAAAAAGTACCGGATTGGCACGAATTTTTGATAAGGATCCGCCAAAATACATAACGGATTTGTTAAGGATACATCAAATCCATGTCAACATAATTTTGTCATGAATTATTTGGTACAAAATCGTCAATAAATATTTGTCAAATCTGTGTCAATCTGATTATTTTTTGTAGGATACATAATATTTAGTACTATGTACGTTAATTATTAGAATGACCTCACTCAAAATGTAAAAACATAATGCCTTTCTTGATTTCGATTAATGATATAATAATGTTCGCAACTAATTAACTAAGCAAATTCTGATTTGTTGCGAGTTTAAATTGTAGACTTGGTTTTGGAGCTCTAAATCAGGCAGATCCAGATTCACCGCCAGCAATTATGATGTATGGGTTGATGAAACTCTTAATATATTATTTATCGGTTAATTATATATACCAATTATATATGTCTGAGTGATTGTGTCTTGACATCGTTGAGAGTGAACTTTGCAGCATCAGAACAATAATATGTTTTAAAGAGTGCTTCTCTTTAGTTTATGATTATGATGATTCTTATGTACAAATACGTTTAAGATGCTTGGACAAAGTTGAGGATGATTGATGATGCATTAAAGTATTTATATATTAATTTTGGTGTCACATTATTACGTATAAAGTATTTATATGCCATTTTTACCCAACCTAGCTAATAAGTTCCTACTTTGATTTATGGAATCCCCTCATATAATATACTCCCTCCGTCCCACAATGAACTTCACAGTTTGACCTACACACATATTAAGGAAATAAACTTATCATGGGGTAAATTTTACTGTTTTGACACTGTTTCGACACTGTTTGACACTTTTTTGCACTGCTTGGCACCGTTTTGCACTATTTGACACTGTTTTGATGTAGATTAACTTGACATTTAAGGAAATGAGAACTTGTTTCTGGGACATCCAAAAAAAGAAAGTGGGAAGTTCATTGCGGGACGGAGGGAGTAAGAGATACACACGCGAGATTTGTCTTAGAAGCATATCCCATTTATGATTAACGATGGTTGACTGAGAATTTATAAATTTTTGTTTATGAAAAGTGGTTTATATTGATATCACAGCATACAGATATGGGCTAAAAAGACAAAAAGATCGCTGACAACCGCTGACCCTCGAATCAGACTCAGAATTAATCACCTCACAAGAAGCAATATAACGCGCAATTGAGCCAAAGAGGATTAATGCAAACCTCCTGTCACCCAAATTCTAGCTCCAAGTCTTACAATGCACAAAAACAACAAGCGGAAAATAAACAAAGTACCCAACATCATAAAAAACAAGCACAACGAAAAAATAAAAACCATGCACCGTCTTCCAGTAAGAAAATGCCAAACGCCATCCTGAGCCTGCTACCTTCTTCCAAATCCTAGACTCTCCATCACTCCATGAAGGTGGTTCAGGAGGAGGACGAGCCACCCGAAACGTCTGCCCCATGCGCTCCGCATCGTCCTCCTCATCGACCACCAGTTCGCCATCCTCTGTCAAAGCACTGCCCAATCCACTTGTCCATCTGTCCTACGCTCGTCAATGTCATTCCCTCGTTACTTCTATCCACCTGCAAAACCCGCTCCATCGAAAACACCTTGTCGTGCTTGCTATCTGGCTATGTTGAAAGAGCGTCGATCGAAACTACACAATCACACTAGGCGGTTGTGTTCTCAAGATTCGTAAAAGGCAATAAACCCTAGTAGTCCTCTTGCTCAACCCCCGGGACCTTGTGAAAGTAATCAAACAACAGTGTGACGACACAAATCAACCCTGGCTGAATCTATTAACAATAAATCCTAAACAAAACAATTGGAATGAAAACCAAGGAAATTGCTGCACTAAAGGATTCGGCGGAAGAAATCCCTACATTCCATAGGAACAGACCGCTCCCTCAACATACCTGATTGACTGAGAGTAATATTAAGGGAGATTTCAACGAATAGGAGCAAAAGGTACGAATTTTCCAAAAGTAAGACCTAAGATTCGCTTAAGACTCAACTACACCTTCATTGACCACAATACCCTTACCTTTAGGAAATAACAGACATTAAATAGACAATAAAATAGACAATAAGTAGATAATAAATAAACAATAAATTCTGATAAAATAATCTATTCAAATCCAAGTGTGATCTGCTCGAGTACGACTGCGACAGCGGAGTTGAACCACGACTTGGACGGTGAGGCAAGGCAGAGATCTGGACGGCGAGGCGAGGCGGAGATTTGGACGGCGAGGCGAGGCGGAGATCTGGACGGCGAGGCGAGGCGAGGCGAGGCGTAGATCTGGAGGAGAGGCGAGGCGTCGAGCGGGAGGGCATCTGCGGTCGAAGGTGGAGGCCTGCGTTCCATCGCAGGGAGAGAAGCTGCGGTCGAAGGTGGAGGCATGCGAAGTCGATGCAAGGGCGGAAGTTTTTTGGTCTGAAGGGCAAATTTGGAAAGATAGAAATAGGTTTCCTAATCTAGAACTAAATAAGTAATATGAATGGAAAAAACATTAGCAGATATTATTTTTGTAAAAGAGCTATGATTTGGTCCTACTAGGAGCAAATTTCTCTAATATTAAATCAAATTACAATATTTAAAATAGAAATAAGAAAGTAAATTTTACTTATTTAAAATTGTGCTATTTTTTTATTTTACTACAAAAAATCATATTCAATTCTAATACTCCCTCCGTCCCGGAATTATCTTCATTCTTTCTTTTTCGTTCCGTCCCAAATTTATCTCTTCTTTTCTTTTTTGGTAAAGAATTTGTGGTTCACAACCATTCTTACACATTTCTCTTTCCTCTGCACAACTTTCCATCACATATTTCTCACTATCTTAAAATTCGTGCCCAGTCAAATAAGGAGATAATTACGAGACAGAGGTTGTATGATTTAAGGTTTGATACTTCGTATAAAATAAGAGATTCAAATAAAAGCACATTTGACTTCAAATATAAGCACATTTGACTCCAAATAGATGCAAATAAGACATGACAAAGTTACTAGAAGAATATATGACCAAAAGTGAAAATTACATAGATTATAGGTGTATGTTAAGCCATCGATCTCACATCGCCCTACTATAAAAATGTAAATAGAAACATATACTTCGTATAAAGCTTTCGACTACTTCTTCATCATTTGTTAGAAAAGAACCCCAATTTTTAATCATATGTGAGTATGTGACCTGTGTAGAATTTTGTATATGACCAGTGTGGGATAATTAAGATTAGCTGAAAAAATTAGGTGAAAACATTAATTGTTTGGTACAATTAATTAGCTGAAAAAAATACTCGAATTTTTAGTAACTGTTAGATTTTAGTTATTGAAAAAGATAGGAACAATGTGGTAGCTATTTGATGAAAATATGATTATTTAATTTAGTCTTATATGGTAAACAAGTTGTTCTGACTAATTAATGTTACAATAAATCAGAAAAATAAAAGGTTTCACTGTAAATGTGCATTTACCACACTGACACACTATAAAAACTACTACCTCTGTCCCTTAAAATTTTGCCAAAGTTAACCGGCACGGAGAATAATAAAGTAAAAACTGTGTGGTTGAGATTTGTGCAGAGGAGAGATAAATAACAGAAATCACAAAATAATTGATTAAAAGGAAAAGTGACAAAGTTTTTTGGAACATCCAAAGGAATGATGGCAAAGTTTTAAGGGACGGAGGGAGTAATTAATAGTAAAAATATAAACACTCGGAAACCAATGCCATCATTATTCATCTGGCTACTCTGGTCTTTTGAGTTCGTATACCGTACCACTGATTGTCTGGCTTACACCGTACAGTCAGTGGTACTTTTGTAATTTAGATAAAAATCATGGCTTCTGTTTAATGAGCATTAATGCACTTTTAATTAGCATCACACATATTATGTTTAGTATTAAGAGTCTAATACTTAGCGTCATGATCTTTGCTTCAAATCTTCTAATTCAATTTGATTTTCTTATTTTTTAAAATATCTATAATGAACCTGTATGAGTCCAATATGCGAATCCAATGTAATACGCAGTATTATACTTTTGAAATATGCATGGATATGAGTCATGACATTTTAAAATGAACACTACATCAATATCAAATGAGCATACATAACTTACGAAATGGGCATCGAACATTTCAAAAAGCACATTTAAAATATCTAGTATGCTCAAATATTCATTTGTGTGTATGTTCTCGTATCAATATAGCATTAAGAAGCACCTACGTATTGGCAAATCAAATTGCACTTAAGGTAGGCGAATAACGTTGGGCACAAAAGGCAAGAAATGGATGGGGAATCGAGTGTCTCGCAAAGCACGAGGATTTGTTCGGCCATTGTCCCTGTGGTCTCCGAGTTGTACTAGAATTGGCTTAGTCGCCAATTCTCCATCACCAAGGCCACGTCACCTCCTCCTTCGGCTGGTCAATTGAAGGAGCCACTGCAACTCTGCGAGTACTCAGCAAGGAAGCACGGAAACGCCGAGAAGGGGGAGGTTTCCGTCTCGGAAACGTTTCAGAAACGCGAAATGCCCAGACGGCCTGAAACGCGATGGAAACGTCCGGAAAACGTTTCTGAGATGTTGGGATGTTAGGCTGGGTCGGGGAAACGTTTCGGAAACGGTGCTGGGCTTGGGCCTATGCGTTTCTGCAGAAAAAAAGACTTTAATCGCTTACCTCTGCGACGACCCGAAGACTGCGAACGAAGAAGGTTATCTGCGAAGACTTTGAACTTGTGAAGTGCGAACGAAGTGCGAAGTGCGAACGAAGTGCGGACTGCGAAGGAGACCATCGACCATCGCCCATCTTCATCGCCTGGACTTCTGCGAGGCAGGGAGTGGCCCGGAGTGGTGCTGTGCTGCCGTGCTAGACTGGTGGTTCGTCATTCGCTATTCACTGGACAGGACAGAACTCACGGAAGGAAGAAGAAACTTAGAAAAGTGTTTGGTTTTTGGGTGAGAGATTCTCTTCAATTTCAACTGTTTCCACTTTCCAAGTTCTAGTAAGTACCGACCTTTCTTTATCCTCATTCCTCAAATATGGAACATACTTTAGAAGTTAGTGATGGTGTCAGTGGTTCAAGGAGTTCTTCTGTTGGTGTTGATAATACACCTTTGTGGAAATTTGTTACCAAATTAGGTAAAAGTGCTGGATTATAACAAGGATGTATGTTTTGTTTAATTATTTTCTGGGTTGTTAGACATATGCATTACTTATATTACTAAAAATATTAATTTTTAGTTTGACGTTTCCTTGCCATACCCGTTTTCTGACATTTTGAGTTTAGCGTTTCCCCGTCCTCGTTTCTGTCCTCGTTTCCGTTTCCGTTTCTGTCCCGGTGCTACTTAGGTACTCGGTTCTGCTAAGCAAAGAACTCCTAGGGAGATTCGAGAGCATGACAGCTTAGCTCTTTTTTTGTAACGAAACATCATTGTTACAAACTGTGGCGGTATCTTGCTCTATCGGCTTGAAATTCAGGGATGGACTGGGACGGGTTGAGATCATTATAAATTTTGGTACAAGAGAAGATTAATTTTTTGGACAGATCTTTATAGGGATAGACTAGGCATGGACTCCGGCTGGTCCGGGATGGGCCTCGGGCTGGTCCGGGATGGGCCTCGGGCTGGTCCGGGCCGGGCC